GCTGAAACATCTCATGACATCTGTGAAAGCCGCTTTCCTGATCGCCAAGCAACCTGATAAATGCCAGCCATCTGAGAACCATGGAGCAGAATTGAAAAAAAAAATACCCACAGGACTACGGTCTGTTTTCTATTAAGGAGTGGGCAGCACTTATGAACATTATGCCACCCACGCCTGAGACAGTTCGGTCATCAGAGTGAACGATCTTGCAGTGCGTGATACCATCATGTCTAGTCCCTCTCCATCTTTAGGGAATCAAAGACCTTACGACAAGTGCAACCTTCTGTGGAATTCACCCATTCGAACAGGTCAATGATGCTATAAAATCAGCACATCAGGGACATCACTGAACTCTGATTACCCTCAGTGAATGATGCTGTAAGCTGCGTCAGCAACAGTGCAAGTTGCTGAGATGCTAATTAATGGAGGCCTTTGTTTTCGTGCATTTCTTTATCCCATCCCCTTTTAAACAGCATAGTTAAACATGCACCCCAACTGAAGGCTTTCAAGCACACTAAGAGAAGAATTGCAGACTTCCTTTGTAATGCTCAAACTTAGTTTGGCAACATGCAACCTTCACGCGCTCCACCTGATCGTTTCAAGCAATGGGAATTTTAACGGTTTATGAATGCCGACTCCGAGGAAACTTGCAAGACATGATTGATGTTCTGGTTATATATTATGTATCACAACTAGCAAGCATAACAAATTCAAGGTGTAAAGAATCGACAATACAAGACCATATGCATCCTAATGAGCTTACTGTGGCACAGAGGTTTGCATAATGTCTAGTGTTCTTATCCACTGTCCAGCATCTCATCCTTTGAAATATGCCAAGTGGCTGCTCAACAGCTGAGGGTGCGACCAAGAACTTCAACCTGTTTGCCTTCAATTTATCGCACAACCATCATGGCAGACTCTCCGTCCTCAAAACAGACAGCAGCGAAATTGGCACACATCCTGCTGCAAGTTCCCCCACAGGTGCGCGGAATTACGGGATGAGCATGGCACTAACTTCCCTCCGTCAGGAAACATACATGTAGGTCAAAGGTCATCAAGCGCAGTCATCAAACCAACAAGCCAAATACATGTATGCTGGGATTTGAATGCACTGTGCACATTAGCACCTCAGCATTCAATGCTATAAAACAGCAAACGGTGTTCTAACTAGAACGTCTTCCCTAACCCCCCCCTTTCTTGTAGAAAATATGTGAAACTCAGAACTAGGTTCTGCCCAATGGGGTCGTTACCTCTCAAGATACAGGATTCCCAGCTGTTGGATTCATTCACAACAGCTAAACAATTCCACCAGTGCAAGCACAGATCTGTCACTGAGGCAGCTGATAGTCCTCTCCAGTGTGGCAGATTGCATATGAGTGATGACTGTATGGACTGAATGCTATGTCTTCGCATGTGAACATGAAATCAGAATTTGTCAAAGTCCCAGTCCTTGGCAAGACTGTACACGGGTTTAGCACCATGAAGTCTGCACCTCATACATCCAACGAAAGCACAAAACAAATCAACACTGAACCAACAGCAAACATCAAACTCAAACCCAATATCCTATAGTGTAGGAATTGACTTCAATGCAGCCATGCACTTTGATTTTGTTTAACAGATAAAATAGCATTTCCAGGATTTTGATCTGATGAAATACACACTAAAGGACACCATCCAAAATGTTGAAACTTGTTAATGAAAAAAGCCAAACAATTTTATTGAAATCCTGACCAGTAAACTTCATGAAAACAACATGGCAGGACCCTGTTAGGGTTAATTTTGTGTTTGAAGGTAGGTTACACCATTTGGTACAATGGCCATAATATCTTTTGACACCTGAGGGCTCTCTTACTGTAGTGACTGTCCAATTAACCCCCAAAAATTAGAACCTTACAACTTCAGTTCACCGAAAAAGCATTCATTCTTTTCCTTAGCTGATTGACTGACCAACAATGAATGCCCAAAAAACACAAACCAAACATACCCCAACAATGAGCCCCAAGGGGGACCAACAGAGGGCGCAATGTTCCCAGCAATGTAGGTTCCTTTGGTTGGAACTGCACTTATATACTCCCAACCAACATGGCTTTCTTCAACCCATGAGGGGATGCCCCTGCTCAAGGTGGATATCCTGCCACCTTTGGCGATAGTTAAGTGAAAGTAAGCATAAATTGAACCTGCGATATCACAAATGCACATACAAGTCAATAAAACATCAATCACCCTGTGATTTAATAAGCTCTCCAAAGCAAGTCTGTTGTTTTCACTCATCAAATAGTTGACTATATGCTGATCTACTTTGGCTCTTGTTCAGTGGCATGGCCCCTCACCATGGTGTACAAAGTGGGGAGTGAGGCAGCAAAACCAGTGACGAAAACTTTATATATGAGACTTTCAGATTCATTTACTGCTTAAGGTATGGTCACATAACATCCTGTTGATCAGTTTGCCAGAATAGTTGGAGGGGATGGCCACATTATACACCTCCACGGTGGAGGATCCAGAACTACTGCTGTTTTCATTGGCTACATCCTTAAGGGCCTGTTTGTTTCACATGGATCTGAATTTAAATCAGTGATCCTTCATTGGTTCACTGACACTAGAAGCCACCAAGAGGATAGAGCGAACCAGCTTTTGGATCACTGAACGTGATCTGCATCTGTGTGAATCAAAAAGGCCCTCAGTTCCACAACAAAATTCTGATTTTGTCATGTTTTAAATTAATAGATGTGATCTGGCCAAGGCATGTTTGGTCTTGATGGACTTCTCCAGTTTTGTTCATTTCCCATTATGTGTGATGAGCAGCAAACTCGTGACCGACTTCTAGATTGACTTGTGATGGACTCGACCACATGGAAAACCCTAACCAACTCTAATGGCATTTTAAAAAAAATCCAGTATTTTCCTCAATCCTGCATTGCGCACAAATGCAATGGCATCCTCTGTGTGTTCTAAGCTTTCACGACGTGTACAGTACCAGGGAGAGTAATTAGGGTTTAGGGCCATGCACGAACTTTCCTTAACACTATTAAATGTTCTGCTGGATTTTGAAGGATCCAGGAAGGAATTAAGATGTACGATAAGCATGGGTTAAAAAGTTTTATGACAGTTTCCCACTCTGCTGTTCTTTTTAATTTTGGTTTGTCCATGAAATTTTAGAGGCAAATGTAGTGCTTTGAGGGATTGTGGTGTTTATACAGGTGTTTGCCAGTAAGTGATATTCTACCTTTCAACTGCCATTTTATTGAGAGCAAATTTTAAATAACCACCCAAAAAACATAAAAATATTTAATTTGATCCCTGAAGCAGTACACTTGCAAATTTTCAGTAGGCATTAACAGTTTACTTTGGATGCATGAATCTACGACACTGTCTACTATTTATGCAGTTCAACCTGTTTGTCTTTTTTCAACATCCAAAGCGTTCTTGTGATCCATTCTAATGCAATAATTACAGAAACGGGGTCATCTATGCAGCATTCACAAAGTGAAATGGAACTATACAGTAGCAGGCCATAGTCCCACATGCAACAGCATAATCACAAGTCATAGAAATTTCAATACGCACAGAACTTTGAGCAGAACTTTTCTATTTAAATCAGTTTTTAATTTACCGGTTTATTTTGCAAGTTGTTTAAGTTCATATTACTGTCATGTGAATGTTCTTATTGTTTGTTTGTTTGTTTGTTTCTTGTTTGTGTGTCCTCAGTCCCCATAGTAAATTTACATGTTTGCTTACCTGGATGTTCAAGTGTCTGTTTTTTTTGTGTTGTATTTGATGGTGGATCTTCAGGTGTCTGTTTTTTTGTGTTGAATTTGATGATGGATGTTCAG